TGGGACGACATTTGCTTTAAATGGGTTTTTATGTACTTTCAGGTACAGTAATTCACAAATCCTAGTATTTGTGACACAAAATTTGTGACAGACTGGAATATATATATATATATATATTTTTTTTTTTAAACAGTGTACAACTGGGTGTTAAAAAACATTTATCATAAAGTTCATAACAAGAGTTATTTGTCTCCCATATCTTTCTACCTCCTCTCTTTCTTTATCTGTTCTCCTATTCTCCTCTCTTCTTCTTCTACCCACTCACCCCTTCTCAGTCCCCAGTGTTGGGCAAACTACTCAAAAAATGTAAACAGCTTAGGCAAAAAAAGATAAAAAAGTGTAAAAAAACAACAACAACAACATCAATCCATATACAATAGGTGCATGAAATATCAACATTACACCTCCTGTGTTCTCCACATTCTCAAACACTTCCGAAGTAACCCAGCAGGCTTTGCTCCAAACATGATGCCAAACGGCTGAACGGTCAGCCATGCATTTCAGGGAGTATGCATGCGATGTTGTGTTAAGCAGCTTATATCATTCTCTTAATGTATATGTAGAGGATGTGCTGCTTTTTTGTTCTTTATTTCTCAGCCACATGGCCATGCAAGTTAGATTCCTGTTTTTCATCAAAATCTGTTCAGACCCATACAGTAGCCTCTGTCGACGTGATTGTTTGCAACTCTAATTTGCCAAAACGCTAGTTGTCACAGTCGACTACAGGAGTAAAGTGTTAACAGGAGGTGATGTTGGCTGACTTTCATGTATACAAATGTGACCTTCTCCGTCCAACCTGTGGTGTGTAATCAGCCTCACGGCTTTCATTAGCAGCAATCAGGTTCTATTACATTCATTTCCAGTGGATGTGAAGGTACCGCAGATACACATTTCTTCTGGTTACTAATCATGACTGTTCACGTGGTGTAAAAGTTGGCTCTCCAAAAGGTGCCACTGTCTTATCTGAAGGCAAAGGACATTTTTTTAAATGTTGTCCACAGAAATTATGGACTTACTCTAGAATTTTTTTTTTGCAGAAAAGTAGCTTTAGAGCTCATGCCTTTTGAGTTGAATATAATATAAACGGTGTTCTTACAGGTTTTTGAAGCAGGGATGTGCAAGACTGTTTGACTAAATGGTACTGTTGCGGCTTATCGACATTGGAAATACTAATATTATGTTTTACAAAGGCTACATCTGAATTGCTGTCATGTAAAGGTTCCAATTTAAAAATAATAAATCACTTTGAAAAGAAAACCATTGATTTCATGTGTTTTCTCCGTGTCACTGCATCTACTCACTAGATTATGATTGACAAGTACTCAACAACAGTTGCTGTGCCAGTGTCGTAATGATCAGAATAGCCTTTAAATAGCATTATATAGTTGCTAGTGCATGTCAAGCTTTTCATGCGAACATATAAACTTTCATATAAACAACACCTGCTAATTCAACATGCGTTGGCTTACTTTTGTTTGAGGAATTATGTTTATAATAAGCTGTTAACGTATTGGTTCTGCACTGATTCAGCTGATTTGAATAAATATTCCTATAATGGCTAACATTGATTAAGGCAAGAACATCATATAGTACATGACCCATCTTTTAGGTGTTTGGCTGCTTTATTCATACATTAACCATTTCAGCGATGAGGGTTCAGAACGCTCGTTCTGATCGACTTTGAGCTGCTTTCAGAAGCTGTGTGGATTAAAAATGAGTGCAGATGCAATGAACGATTAAATACAGTATTTTATTCACATTGTGTCCCTGATCTTTGAGGGCAGGCGTAAGACACGCTCATGCCAGGAGATCAACCAACACATCCAGTCTTCTGAACACAGGGCAACAGGCATATTGAACAACATTTACAGATTTAAAGGAGTAGTAGAGGATCACAGCTAAAAAAAGGTATTCACGATATCTGAGTTTGAACAGCAAATGGTCCAACTGATGGCTAAGGCGCATTAAAACCAGCTGCTCTCCTTCAGTACTCACATAATTGCATTTTGAGAGGAGATCATACATTACAGGGTTCGCCAAAGTAAACGCACAAAGATGACAAGGCTGGAGGAAAAACTGACAAGTCGTAATGTTTACAATCAAGTTCAGTTGAGTTGTGGCATACATCACGGTAAACATGAGCAGTCTGCACCCAGGAGATCCACAAACAAACGTCGAAAACAAAGTGAGTGTTCCAGTCAAAATATTAGCTTGACGAAGAAATGCATTTCAAACCTCGTAACTGCTTGTAATTATGCAAGCCTCACTTTTGAATGATTTTTCATTAGAGCTGTTGTTGTTGTTTATTTTGAAACCCTAAAGTGCACTTGCATGCTCCTATCTTTTATGTATACACTTCTTCTGACTTTTTTTTAATCATCCTATGTAAAATAATAACAAAAGCAATTACTATTCTAAAGTACTAAGTCTGTGTAGGACGTGCACACTGTTAAAGGGTTAGTGCCAGAGTTACATGTCACAGGAAACTATTTGGTCTGGAAAAGCGGCGAACATCAAACTTGAAACATAGTAGCACATAAAAGGAAGAGTCGATCTCTTCATATACTGATGACAGTTTTGTAGTATTCATTACTAAGCGTGTACTATATATACTGCTGAAAAGTAATGCGGCTTTTGTTCTAAAAGTAGCAACAAATAAATAAAAACAAACATTATCTAAGTGCTTCTGTGTTCAGAACTGGACAAGAGAAATAATACGTACTGTAATTTCACAGCGAGAGAAAAAAACCATGAAAAACAAGCTTGTAATGACAAAAAAATACAATGTAGATATGAACAAATTGTTTCTATTTGTCAAATTCTAACAAAATGAAGTGTCCTTAAAAATATTTCAAGTAAACAAAATGTCATAATAGACTGAAGGGACTCAAACTAATATCTGTAAATGTGAAAAGCTTTTCATATAGATTCCTTTGAAACCTTCAAAAGTTCAAATAAGTAAATAGATCCGGCTTTGTTGGTGTGCAAAAACAGTGTAGAACGTTCATATAGTGTTCACGTCATTTGTTTCTGTAAGGAAAATGACATCTTAGATTCAAGGTTAGCAAGCATCACGAAAAAAGTAACTGAAACGCTCTCAATTCCTCTAGAAACCTCTGTATTCGAACAACCTAAACATGATGGCAAAAACACAGGAGCACAGACAAACTAACACGACTTTACACGAGTGAAAATGTACCATCGGCTGTGTACCTTCAATAAAACCAACCACAGATTTGGTTACGCTTGGAAAAACCTGTATAATGAAGTAACATATCACTACCCTTTATAAAGCTCTCTAAAAGAGTCAAAAGAACCTAATAAAGTGCACTATAAATACTACTGTCATCTTTACAACAATAATGTTCTGAACTGAGAATTAAAAATTCAAATATAAGTTTATAAAATACACAAAAGGAGCATTACTGAAAAAGCAGAAGTATACTCTTTACTTCAACAAACAGATAAAAAAATAAATGGCACAAACTGCGCAGCCGATGGCGTTAACGTGAACGTCATCTAATCTTGCAGTCTGAAATGCTGTAACTCAGCAAGTACCTCGAAATCATCATTAGAAAAGAATCTATTTAGAGTTTCGGTCCATTGCTGCGACTTGCTGGTACGATCCATTACCGCGCGTGTGAGAGTAGATATTACACTGAGAATTTGGTGGCTTGTTAGTACGTGGTTAGTACATCGAAAACTAAAGGTATCGTGATAAATCCCGCATCATATCCATGCACTGAAATCCTAAAGGATCCTAAAAATGACCCCTCTCTCTGCTGTCAGCTCAGATCCGCTGTTTATTCGTCTAGTAAAATAACAGTTAACGCTCTGAGTGAGACTATATCTACTGCCTAGCATATGTAAGTGGACGTTTCCACTTGAAGAAAATACTTCTCTTGAAGGAAAAGCAAATTAGGGGAACAGCACAATCAAGAGACGGTCATGTTCTCAGAACAAAATCAGCGGCACTTTATTTTACAGTCCTCTTAGTATAGTAACACACTCTTAAAAATAAAGGTCCCAAAAGGGTGTTTTTGCAGTAATGCCATAGAAGAACCATATTTGGAACCTTTCAGTGAACAGTTCCTAAAAGAACCATTTTGAAGAACATTTTTAAAATCTAAAGAACCTTTTTTGACTATAAAGAACCTTTTCTGCATTTGAAAAGTTCCACGGATGTTCTTCATAGAACCATTGATGCCAATAAAGAACCTTTATTTTTAAGAGTGTAAAGGCTTGTGCACACCGGGATGATTATCGCCGACGTTTAACGCCTTGTGACTAAACAAAGGGCGCCAATGTGATTGTGCACACTGACGCACAAAACGCAAGGCGTAAAAGCGTCATTTTTTAAAAAACACCTCGGGCTCGTCTTTTTGGTTTGACGCGCTGCGTTAGAAACTGGCCGACCAATGAGATTGGCACTTTTGTTCACGTGCCTGGAGCTGCTGAAGTTACAGTAAAACACGACTTGGTGGTGCTCAAGCACAAAACGGTCTTGCCAAGCACACATTGATACCTAACGACGAAGAGGATGTAAGTAGACGAAGAAGATGCATCGAGGCAAGATGAATGTAGAGCTGCTGATCTCACTGGTGTCTGAACACAAAGAGCTTTATGACAAACGTGACAGCGACTACAAAAATCTCGATAAGAGGGAGTTGTTATGGAGAGGAATTGCAGATCAAATAGGATTCGATGTGTATTTCTGTTTTTCATTAAGCGCCATCTAATGTCAGGGAGTGAATTTGGACGTTCACTCGGCTTATAGCCAGCGAAAATCGCTTGGGTATGAACACAAAGACGCGTCGAAAAACGTCTAGAAAAATACTGGCGATAAGCGCACGCGATAATCGTCCCGGTGTGCACGAGGCTTAACTGGATAATAACAAGGCATCAACACTGAATCTAACCCTAAACCTAACCTTAACCTAAAAATACTCCGTTATTTCTGCAAACGTGCGTACTGTAAAATAAAGTGCAACCATATGATCTTTACACGCTAACGAATAAAAAAAGAAAACCACACTATTTGCTCCACAAGCACCGGCTGGTCAAGGGAGACCTAGGGATTTACAACTTCCAACCAACTGATCAATTTACATTTTACACAAATTATTTCTGAGAACTGTCGGCAGATAAATAAATTACATCAAAGTACAGTCACGCGTGATATACAGTGGCTCTCTGACAGGAAGCAGGAGACTGTCTATGTGATCTTGGGTGTTTCGGGCCGGTAGTCCTTCCGCTCGGACGTGTTGCGCTTGACTTTAGCGGCGGCCGGCTGGGACTCCTGGTTGAGAGATGGGCTGGACTGAGACTTCTTCAGCGCCGCGTCACCGTCCCGGGCCGTCAAGAGCTCTCTCACACCTTCTTTCAGCAGCTTGACGTACATCTCGTAACGGCTCTCCTTCAGAGAGAATTCAGAAAATCCATTAGACTCCATTATAATGTCATGAGACAAGAGCTAACAATAGCTCTGCTTCTCTACACAGCCCTCGCACTTACTGTACCTTCAAAGCAGCATCTTTAGTCAAACGGCACCTTGTGAGTGGCTCATTTAAGGCAAAACGTGAGATTTTGGGCTATTTTGCTTCCATAACATGGAAGGAATCATCCAAAATACACATTTAAGTGTCTAACTTATCTGTTGATTTTAATTATATATGTATCTTTAAAGGCTGAACTTCAGCAGCATTTACATACACCAAACCTCACAGTTTTATTCCCATCTATATTCTGTAGGTTTTTACAGAGGGGTTCGTTCACATACAGTACTGTATATCGTCTCTCCACTTTGTAAACACCTTTAACTCTAGTATGTCAACAAAACAAAAATAAGGATTTTGAACTTCAGATTTCTGTTCTGTGAAATGAGTGCATATTTTGTTTAATAATGCTTAATTTGCATATTTAAAAGTATAATTTTTTAGAAAACTTGGAATACAAAACAATTCTCTTAACCCGTTTTAACCCTACTGACCTGTGGTGTCTTGGCTTGAAGTACACAAAGCACTCCTCAGGTGAAGCGCAGAAAACACTCAAATAAAGCTACTTGACTTGTCTTGACTCCACACACTAGTAAGCAAAAACGCACATTTTCAATTCTATGGGACTATTCTTTGTTCATAATTTTCAGTACTGAATAAAATCTATTTGTAATGCATTATAATTTTTCTTGACCTGTGGTGTCTTGGCTTGAAGTACACAAGTGTCCACCATTTGGAATGAATTTTTTTACTGATCTTGTTGAGGGTCATTCTGAGATCGACTTATCTAGGAAGGATATTTATGATGCTGCCAAGGATTTGGCCAAAGCCTACTGTTTTGAACAGCCTTTGTGTCAGGTGTACACCCGTGATGCCTAAAGAAGTGAGCTCGTGGATTTTTTTTTCTGTGACTAAGCGACTAATAAAATTTTGGTCGACCAAGCCTCTTCTGGTTGACTAATGATTAGTCGACTATTAGGGGGCAGCCCTAAATTAGATACACTACTGAAAAAGTACTGGGACAAAAAAAGTTTCTATATTACATATTAGATATGCATTAAGCCTGCTGTTTGAATTCATTAAAGATGAGAACAAGCATTTACAAAGCATCATTTAATGTTGAAACAAAAGTATGTGTGATAAGAGTGCTGTTTTATTCCCTTCCTCTGACCTTATCCATCAATCAAAGCCAGAAAATAAAACGGCTTCAGCAAATGCATTTCCATCAATTCTAGGCAAGTTCATCCCTGACAGTCTAGATGAGGAACGTCAAAGACAATGAACACGGCTCCCTGTGTGTCGAGGGGGGAAAATACGGCCAAGGTAAACCTGAGCAAATGATCTGCTTAATTGTGTCTCTTGCATCATAAAAGGCAACGACGTCTACCTCAAATTCCAGGTAGTGCTCCTTCAAGCGGTACTCATCGACCTCTTTGGCTTTGACCTTCTTATCTGGCGGGTAGGATCTGTGCTCGGCTAATTCTGTAGAGACGTGCTTCAGCTTGGCCTCGTGGGACTTGAGCTGCTCTTCCTGTAACACATCAGACACAGTCATCAAAGGCTTCAGATAGGGCTGGGTGATTTTGAGATCGAGGAAACGTGATTTTGAATAGAAATATTACCCAACGTTAGAATTAGACAACTTTGACAATATGCCAATGATAACAGTAAAGAGAAAAAAAAACGATCTAAACGCATGTCAGCGCACGTGATTAACTGCTCTGTGTGACGCGCTCTTATCGCTAGGCACCGTTCACACAGAATGTGCTTTTGTGTCGATGACTTTTGAGAATTTTTAAAGCATAGGAAAAACATGCAAGAAGACGGGAGTGAACTTCTTTAATTTGAGCGCTGCAATTTTTAAAATGCCGTTTCATGCATGAGACGCTGCAAGAGACGTGAGCGCAACAGCCAAACACATCCATGTTCACATTGAAAAACAATGGAAAAGCAAAGCAAGCAAATAAAAACCCTGTACCTACTACTGTATGTCTGATATTTCATGCTTGCATCATGTCTACTGGTGTTATACCTTCAGGCATTTTGAATTTGAATTACCTTGACTTTTGAGAATTTTTAAAGCATTGTCCTCGTATTATTTCTGAATATATAATATGTATAAGACAAGTTTGTACAAGATGTAGTTGTAGTTCATGCATCTTTTCTGCAAAGATATTAAACAAGTGATTTGTTTAACATTTACATCATGTTGACAACTTCATGTGGTGCACTTGGAATAGAATTGTCTTACCTAGAGGGTTAATAAAGAAAAAGTTACTTGAATCATGTTGTAGTTACATTTTCAAGCTGACTAGCTAAAAAATAAATAAATAAATTAAATAAAAATTCCAGATTCAGTCGAACGTTCTGAAAAAAAATAGAGATTTAAATGTTTTGCCATATCGCCCAGCCCTAGCTCCAGATGGACAACAGCATTTGACTTGACTCTTCAGACCCACCTGAGACATGCGGGTGGTGGTCGCCGGCAGCAGCGGACGGCTGAATTTCTTCTGCGAGCCGATGGCAGCGGGGAAGGATGGGGCGGAAAACATGGCCGCCACCGAGTTGATTATTCTGATCCAGGACTCCATTTCCTCAGGGCTCCTACAGAGAAGAGACGGCACGTGTTCATATGAAGAAGGCCACGCTACAGTCACGCAAACTCACAGAATGAGAGCAGTCAGCCTTACGAAGAAATAAAAGGTCTGTGGGCAGACCAATGGAAGAGATAAACAAGCTTTAATTGAGCTTGAACTGAAGCATGAAATTAGATTTGGAGTTCAGGGAAGGTCTCGGTAGCTGTCTCTTACTGGGCCTGGAAGAGGAACACTCTCCAGTCAGCAGTCTTGAGTTTGAGAACATTGGGCTTCTTCTCGTAGTCCATCGCCTTGATGGCAAGAGCATGATGCACGCTGATGGCGTTCTTCAGGTCGTCCTCTGACAGGGCCTTCTCTGGCTTATACTCATCCTGCAGGAGCAAGCACACACAGGACAAATGATGAACACGGACAGGGATGGGAATCCAAGGAATTTAACAAATCTGGTTCGGATTCTTGTGTCCTAAAGATTCTTTTACATCATCTACCAACTCAATCTGAGCAGCTGAGTCCTTAGCCATCTTCAAGAAATGGCTAAAAACCCATCTCTTGCATCTTCATTTGACGCTCTAAAACTCTAGCACTGTCAATTCTAATTCTATTTTATCTATTTGTTTTCTTTTTTTATTTAACCCTCTAAAACCTTAAAAAAGAGCCTCTAACACAAGCATTCTCTGTTTTATTTTTATTGAAAGAAAAAAAGACACTCTAACACTAGCGTTTCCTATTCTATCTACTTGTTTTCTTTTTATCTATTGTAAAAAAAAACCTTGTGTACTGCGTTAGACCAACCAAGACTTGTGTCACGGTGCTACGGTGACGAGTCGAGGAACGCAGAGACGAAGGTGAGTCACAAATAACAGTCTTTAATAACCCAAACACAGGGGAACACAGGGCAGGCAGGAACACACACATAGACCTAATGCTGCGTTCAAGTCCTCCTGGGATGTTCGTACTTACGAGTTGACAAGTCGTAATTACGACGTCAGGTGCGTTCAAGTCAGTTTAGTCGGCACAAGATGGCGGTGTACCTTCTTTTAATAAATTACAAGAAAATACAACAGGGTCTGTTAACTCTGCTTATAGAAAATGAAGTGGCGTTCATGTGCATTCAACTCGTAATGCGTTTTTTAAATATTTTTAAAAAGTAATTTATGAAGCCACTTTAATCTATCGCATAACAACTTATTAATTGTTATATTACAATCCTGCCACATTCAAAAAGCTTATTTTTTTGTAAATTAAAAGCCTGACAATGTCACTGCTTAATACCTATAAGTATTGTGATTTATGTTTTACTTTGGCAATCTTTATAGGACAAACTATCAATTTAAACAAAAATTTACCATCAACTACAGACGTTGCATCCATCGATTCCGCCATGTTTCTCATTGACACGCCCCCAATATTGGAAACTCAGGGCTTTCGAGTTTCCCACTCGTAATAACGACTTTGTAGTGGCGTTCATGTGCATTCAACTCGTAAATACGATCTATCCGACATGACTTGAATGCACCAATAGTATAGACGAAATGACGTTACACCGGACAAAGGAAACCAGGAACAGACAAGACTAACCGAGGGTAATTGACGAGACACACCTGAACCAAATGAACGCAATCAATCAAAGGACAAACTGGGTCACGGGGAGCACATGGGGAGAAAAACACACAAAGACAGTCCAGAGGCGTGACAACTTGTCACAGCACTTACATATTATTGCTTTTTTTCTTGGTTTTGATTGCTTCTATTGTCCTCATTTGTAAGTCAACCGACTAATGACTAAAAGTAAATGTAATCTCAAAATGTAATGCCTTTTGCAGAGCCAACACAATATAAAGTTGTGATGTTTATCAATGTTTTTTTTAATCATCATTGCATTATAGCATCATTGCATTGAATTAGAATCACATATTGTTGTGTGATGTGTGGATGCCAAACACCAACTTGAGTCTGTTAATTGTGTATTTGAGTGAACAAGCAATATAACCTGCCAGTAGTGGTGCTTCTTTAAGCTCTCAGAGAGACCCACCCTGATCAAACATATGAAACAGTGCATGCTCTACCACTGAACAGGAACTCCAAATTTTGGAGGCTCAAATTTTCAATACACATTTATTGTGGCCAAAAGAATTTACGATAACAATATTATTGTGATATCTGTAGGTATTTTGAAAAATAAATAAACAGATAATGCTATCAGTCAATTTAATCTTCAAATGTTGTGTTTTCTCTTTTTCCACCAATGAATCACTCACAACATGGATATAGGGCTGGTGGAAAAAGAAAAAGAAATGTGCTTAAACCAGGAACAGACAAGACTAACCGAGGGTAATTGACGAGACACACCTGAACCAAATGAACGCAATCAATCAAGGGACAAACTGGGTCACGGGGAGCACATGGGGAGAAAAACACACAAAGACAGTCCAGAGGCGTGACAACTTGTCACAGCACTTACATATTATTGCTTTTTTTCTTGGTTTTGATTGCTTCTATTGTCCTCATTTGTAAGTCAACCGACTAATGACTAAAAGTAAATGTAATGTAAATGTAATCTCAAAATGTAATGCCTTTTGCAGAGCCAACACAATATAAAGTTGTGATGTTTATCAATGTTTTTTTTAATCATCATTGCATTATAGCATCATTGCATTGAATTAGAATCACATATTGTTGTGTGATGTGTGGATGCCAAACACCAAGTTGAGTCTGTTAATTGTGTATTTGAGTGAACAAGCAATATAACCTGCCAGTAGTGGTGCTTCTTTAAGCTCTCAGAGAGACCCACCCTGATCAAACATATGAAACAGTGCATGCTCTACCACTGAACAGGAACTCCAAATTTTGGAGGCTCAAATTTTCAATACACATTTATTGTGGCCAAAAGAATTTACGATAACAATATTATTGTGATATCTGTAGGTATTTTGAAAAATAAATAAACAGATAATGCTATCAGTCAATTTAATCTTCAAATGTTGTGTTTTCTCTTTTTCCACCAATGAATCACTCACAACATGGATATAGGGCTGGTGGAAAAAGAAAAAGAAATGTGCTTAACTGTATAAAATGTTTTCTTGTAGTGATATTCAAATCTTACAGATATATTTAAAAAAACTGTACTTGTAGATTATATATATATACACAGTATATATATATATATATATATATATATATAGCATATGTGTGTGAGTGTGATTCGTTGGTTTAAAACATTAATTAAAACAATAAAAGGCCACTTAAGTGTACTTTGAGAGTATAATTTCATGACTGTTTCTTAAAGCACTTAAAAAACACATTTTGAAAAAATTCTAAAATTCATATTTTTCTAAGATTTCTTTAGAAAGCATTGGCATATTTTGACTAGTGATCCTGTTCAGTTCTTTTTGCTAATCCTCCTCATTTTTCGCACTAAAAAAAAATGTTAGAGATTTATTTTGGTTAAATCCAAAACTTTGAATCAAGCATGAATGAAGAACTAGTTATAAATGATTTCTGTGAATTATTTTGATACATTTTTGTGCTTATGTTTTATATAGATTTTGTGAGTAGAGTTATAATGGACATTTGTATATGTGATATATACACTACCAGTTAAAAATTTTTGAACAGTAATATTTTTAATGTTTTTAAAGAATTATCTTCTGATTGCCAAGCCTGCATATATTCGATCCAAAATACAGCAAAAGCAGTAATATTGTGAAATATATTTGCTTTTTAAAATAACTGCTTTCTATTTGAATATATGTTAAAATGTAATTTATTTCTGTGATCAAAGCTGAATTTTCAGTGTCACATGATCCTTCAGAAATCATAATAATATGCTGAATAATAAACATTTTATATTATTAACAATATTTATAACAGTTGAGTACATGTTTTCAGGATTCTTTTATTAATAGAAAGATCAGCATTTATCTGAAAGAAAAAGTTTTTGTAACATACACTATACTTTTGTAACATTAAACACTATAAAACCTTGGAGTAAGTATAATTTTTTTAAATTGATCAAAAGACTGATGATAAAGACTTAAAGTAATATTTCAAATAAATGCTGTTCTTCTGAACTTTCTATTCATCAAAGAAACCTGAAAAAATTCTACTCCGCTGTTTTCAACATAATAATAACAATAAATGTTTTTTGAGCAGCAAATCAGAATATTAGAATGATTTCTGACTCATTCACGTGACTGGAGTAATGATGCTGAAAATTCAGCTTTGAAATCACAGAAATAAATAACGGTTTTCTATTAGAATATACTTTAAAATGTAATTTTAAATAGTAAAAATATTTCACAGTTTTACTATTTTTGCTGTACTTTGGATCAAATAAATGCAGGCTTGGTGAGCAGAAGAGACTTCTTTAAAAACATTAAAAATCTTACTGTTCAAAACCTTTGACTGGTAGTGTATTTACAAAATTATATACATTTGTATAATTAAGCTTATTTATGGATGTGAACTATATTTTTTATATCTGTAAATGTTTCAAGGCTGTATTTGAGTTTTTGACATAGATATAATTATGATATAAATGTGTGACTGTAGCCCATATCTGATAATGCCTTGTATTTTTTGTTCCTGCACATATATAAGGATTTCTACGGTAATATGTGCACTTTAAATTGATGCAGGTGTGTATCTGCAATTATATAGCACTGATGAAGAGTTGATCTTGAAAACATTTTGCACTGCACTTTATTTTATGTGGCCTCTAATGAAGCAAAATAAACAAACAGTTGCAGAGCCTTTGCCCTGTTCGTGGTGTGTAGACCCTTTTTCTGTTTTTTTAATTTATTCACACCCAGTACAACTTTAGGACATTGGACTGTGCATTTATATACATTTGGCGCTACACCGTTCCTTTAATTACAATTAACATGCATTTAAGCGTCAGGAAACATGACACTGAGTTTGCATTTGAGTATATTCTTTTTCTCCCAAATAAAAGGTCTGTTTGAAATGAGAATGAGAACGCCATCCAGCACATTTCCCGTTTCTCTGATGAGAGACATTCGTTGTGATTGCTGCACGAATGGCACATCGTTAGCTCTAATGCCATGGAAACAATCAGTCACCAGCACAAAAATATATGCACAGGTACGGCCTGCTTTCACGCCACTATTTCATTCCTGTGACTTTCGCATGACTGCACAGCTAAGCAACTAATGCAAGTTCAAATGGAGCACATAAATAAACTATTGTAATGGAGAATGGGGGAGCTGGGACGCTTCTTTCTTTGATGGGCTCTGAAAAGGTTTGTCAGACCTGAAATAAATGTGTGAATGTGATTACCTCTCACATCACAATCTCCGGGAGGAGAAATCAATTTATTATTGATGTTTGTGGGAAATGATAGAAATTTGATTAATCAGCAGTGCGAGAGGGGAAAATGAAAGAGCGAGTAAACAAACCTTCTGCAAATAGAGGATCATGCCTTTCAGAACAGCATAGAAGGTTTTCCAGCCTCGTTTCCCTCTCGGTGCTAGAGAATACAAGTAAAATAAATATAATGAAATAATTTATCATGTTAGTCATTTCCATTCATAGTGACCAAGACTGTTAAACTAAAAAGGACAAATAAAAACATATTATAGGTATCATAACTTCTTCCAAGTCTTCTGAAGGCATTTGCTTTGTGGGTAACACTTTACAATAAGGTTCATTAGTTAAACATTAGTTAATGTATAAACTAACATGAACTAACCATGAGCAATACATTTGTTACTGTATTTACTAATCTTCACCAACGTTAGTTAATAAAAATACAGATGTTCATTGTTAGTTCATGTTAGTTCACAGTGCATTAACTAATGTTAACAAGACTTTAATAATGTGTTAGTAAATGTTGAAATTAACAATAACAAAGATTAATGAACGCTGTATAAGTGCAGTTCATTATTAGTTAATGTTAACTAATGTAGTTAACTAATGAACCTTATTGTAAAGTGTTACCAAGGTTTTCCAGCCTCGTTTCCCTCTCGGTGCTAGAGAATACAAGTAAAATAAATATAATGAAATCATTTATCATGTTAGTCATTTCCATTCATAGTGACCAAGACTGTTAAACTAAAAAGGACAAATAAAAACATATTATAGGTAACATAACTTCTTCCAAGTCTTCTGAAGGCATTTGCTTTGTGTGAGGAACATACCCAAATGCTATTAGGTCAGCTAAACAACACACACATAAAAGCAGCATGGATTACATTTGTAGTGGTTTATGGAGCTCAACAGCATCTGTCCGCATTCACACCATGAGCTGTGTGAGGAACATACCCAAATGCTATTAGGTCAGCTAAACTACACACACATAAAAGCAGCATGGATTACATTTGTAGTGGTTTATGGAGCTCAACAGCATCTGTCCGCATTCACACCATGAGCATCCTACTAAACATCTCTTAATTTCCAGTGAAGTACAAAATTCATACAGTTTGGGATGACGTGAAGGTGTCAGTATCGTGCGCTTGCTTAGCTCTTTGTTTTCATAAACAGTGAAGTGTGTTCAGCTGAATTCAATTTCCGTTATGTCAAACGGGTTTAAAAAAGGTTAAAATACCGCGGCAGCCGTCGTGTGAAGACCGAAGAGTGTAAAGACCATCGACTCTACCGTGCGACTCCACCGTGCAGGGACATACAAATCGCTTTTGATTCATTATCTTTTCTACACCTTGCTTCACTTCGGTTTCAGTTTTATTGACCAACTCTTACTATGTGTTTCCAGATTCCTACTATCACTACCACTCGCAAACCATGCATCACACATTGTAGGCAGCGCAATCCTATCAACCTGTGCACAATGCCTATGTCTGCTAATACACTACTTTCTTTTTCTATTGGTCTCTGGAATGGTCAGTCTGCAGTAAACAAAGCAGATTTCATTACATCTATTACTAGTCATTCAAGACTAAACCTCATGGCCCTGACAGAGAAGTGGATCAAACCAGAGGACACTGCTACTCCTGCAGTAGAGCTGGGTATCGTTCAAAAAGTTTTAAATAAGATTACATTATCTAAAAAAAAAAAATCCTTTGGTTTTATACAGACTCAAAGACTCATCAAGTCACTGCACAAAGAAACAAAATGTAACCAACACAATAAATTAGTTTTAATAAAGTTCAAATAGTTTTCAGTTTACACATCTGTTAGGTTACATTTACACTAGTGTGTGTTCATTTTAAAATGCATAGCTCAGACAGATTCATCATTTCTATTTATTTTCCACTGATTTACTGATGAGCATTAGCTGCTTCCAGCGCTGTCTGCCTATGTTCTCTCTTCCACGATCGCTGCTCTGACTCAAGAGTAAATAACATATTTCAGCAACATTACATGGCCAAAACACACATTAGACGGCAATCGGAAGTTATTACAAACACTCGATGGTGGTTTAAACAGAGCTTTGAGTAAAAGCAGAATATGAATCTTATTTATTGTCTTATGTAGCATGATGCTACAGTGTGCATGAATGGTCACGTAACGCGCTTTCGGTCATGTAATACGGACGGAGATCTTTTCTGAAATGCAGTGGAAACGCCTTTGGACGAGGATTGTTTTCATTTTAAAACAAAAACGCACCAGTGTAAATGTAGCCTTACATCTATGGGGGTTGGGACGCTTTCACACAACAGCCTTACGTGTGTAACCGGTGTGTAAACTATAGGTGTGTTCGACTGTGCAGACCGATCAGTGTATTACAGTACCACGAGAGCTATAGAGAGCAGACTGCTCCGTATGCTTTCGAATTGCTCTCACTGATATCAAACACAGATTGATCTGCGCTGTGCGGTGCCACTTCAAGTCGAACACAACCAGTGCTGCAGGCTTATTGGCACACTGACATTGACGAGATTAACCCCTTAGGTATCGAAGATCGGTACCGAACGACAAAACGTTTTTCAATACTCGATGATATCGAGCCAATTCGGTCGGCGCCTAAAAAGTATCGAACTCGATACCTAGCCCTATGCAGCACTCTCCAATAATTTCTCATTTTCCCACACTCCCCGTCTTACTGGAATAGGTGGAGGCACTGGTCTACTAATCTCTAATGATTGGAAATTTATTCCTTTACCTTCTCTGGGTATTAACAGCTCCTTTGAATCACATTCAGTGACTATTACCCACCCTTTTAAAATCCATTTTGTAGTTGTTTATAGACCCCCAGGACCACAAGGTAACTTCTTGGATGAATTAGATGTGCTGCTCTCAAACTTTCCTGAGGATGGTACTCCCCTAGTTATGCTTGGAGACTTCAACATCCACCTAGATAAACCTCAGGCTGCAGACTTCCACACTCTGCTCGCTTCTTTTGATCTCAAGAGAGTGCTAACTATGGCTACTCACAAATCAGGCAACCAACTAGACCTTATTTACACACGACACTGCTCCACTGATCATGTGCGGGTTACTCCACTGTACACCTCCGATCACTTCCTCCTCACTCTTAACCTCAACATGGTTCCTAACACAACACATACCCCTCCACATGTCATCTTTCGACGTAACCTACGCTCAACCCTCCAGGCTATCTGCTATGGTTTCATCTTCACTTCCTCCCCCTGAACAGTTATCATCTCTTGATACTTACAGTGCTATTGATAATTTCTGCTACACTCTTACATCTTGTTTAGACACTGTCTGCCCCTTGTCCTCCAGGCCAGCCCGTACCACCTCTTCTGCCCCTTGGTTATCTGATGTTCTCCGTGAACATCGGTCTAAGCTCAGAGCTGCTGAAAGGGTGTGGTGCAAATCAAAAAATCCTACTGACCTTAGTGTGTATCAGTCACTCCTCTCTTCCTTCTCTGCTAATTTTATTTTCCACTGATTTACTGATGAGCATTAGCTGCTTCCAGCGCTGTCTGCCTATGTTCTCTCTTCCACGATCGCTGCTCTGACTCAAGAGTAAATAACATATTTCAGCAACATTACATGGCCAAAACACACATTAGACGGCAATCGGAAGTTATTACAAACACTCGATGGTGGTTTAAACAGAGCTTTGAGTAAAAGCAGAATATGAATCTTATTTATTGTCTTATGTAGCATGATGCTACAGTGTGCATGAATGGTCACGTAACGCGCTTTCGGTCATGTAATACGGACGGAGATCTTTTCTGAAATGCAGTGGAAACGCCTTTGGACGAGGATTGTTTTCATTTTAAAACAAAAACGCACCAGTGTAAATGTAGCCTTACATCTATGGGGGTTGGGACGCTTTCACACAACAGCCTTACGTGTGTAACCGGTGTGTAAACTATAGGTGTGTTCGACTGTGCAGACCGATCAGTGTATTACAGTACCACGAGAGCTATAGAGAGCAGACTGCTCCGTATGCTTTCGAATTGCTCTCACTGATATCAAACACAGATTGATCTGCGCTGTGCGGCGCCACTTCAAGTCGAACACAACCAGTGCTGCAGGCTTATTGGCACACTGACATTGACGAGATTAACCCCTTAGGTATCGAAGATCGGTACCGAACGACAAAACGTTTTTTCAATACTCTATGATATCGAGGCAATTCGGTCGGCGCCTAAAAAGTATCGAACTCGATACCCAGCCCTATGCAGCACTCTCCAATAATTTCTCATTTTCCCACACTCCCCGTCTTACTGGAATAGGTGGAGGCACTGGTCTACTAATCTCTAATGGTATGCTTTCGAATTGCTCTCACTGATATCAAACACAGATTGATCTGCGCTGTGCGGTGCCACTTCAAGTCGAACACAACCAGTGCTGCAGGCTTATTGGCACACTGACATTGACGAGATTAACCCCTTAGGTATCGAAGATCGGTACCGAACGACAAAACGTTTTTCAATACTCGATGATATCGAGCCAATTCGGTCGGCGCCTAAAAAGTATCGAACTCGATACCTAGCCCTATGCAGCACTCTCCAATAATTTCTCATTTTCCCACACTCCCCGTCTTACTGGAATAGGTGGAGGCACTGGTCTACTAATCTCTAATGATTGGAAATTTATTCCTTTACCTTCTCTGGGTATTAACAGCTCCTTTGAATCACATTCAGTGACTATTACCCACCCTTTTAAAATCCATTTTGTAGTTGTTTATAGACCCCCAGGACCACAAGGTAACTTCTTGGATGAATTAGATGTGCTGCTCTCAAACTTTCCTGAGGATGGTACTCCCCTAGTTATGCTTGGAGACTTCAACATCCACCTAGATAAACCTCAGGCTGCAGACTTCCACACTCTGCTCGCTTCTTTTGATCTCAAGAGAGTGCTAACTATGGCTACTCACAAATCAGGCAACCAACTAGACCTTATTTACACACGACACTGCTCCACTGATCATGTGCGGGTTACTCCACTGTACACCTCCGATCACTTCCTCCTCACTCTTAACCTCAACATGGTTCCGGACACAACACATACCCCTCCACATGTCATCTTTCGACGTAACCTACGCTCAACCCTCCAGGCTATCTGCTATGGTTTCATCTTCACTTCCTCCCC